GGCTGGACTAGGCCACCCGCCATGTGGGGGGGGGGGGGCTGAGGTCCGGCCAAGGCTTGGGCGTGTCTGCAAAGAAAAAGTAGAGGGGGTTTTTTAGGGATCTGAACGCCCTGAGGCTGGATGCCTCGGCGAATTAGAGAGCACCCTAAACCCTAAACTTTTCTTGACTTCCTTTTCAATAATCCTTAAGTCTTAATCGGTCTAATGTTTAGGATTTAGGACTTAGTAGATTTTAAGAATTAGGGTTTAGGATGTATCACAATAGCATGAACATGTGAATCTGGGGTGTGGTGGACCCCTACCGCAACCATAACCGTGCTTGGAGGGTCCGGGAAACTTACTGATGATGGAAACAAAGTAGAAACTACCGTATTAGTAGGGTCTAGGGTTTAGGGTCTCCCGGGGGGGGGGGACTAAGCAGGTCAATGACCCAATATTAGCCATAGAATATCTCCAGGTAAAATACACCCCATCCTGAACCGACGGAAAAAGTTAAGTCTCCCTGACCCAGAGGGTCCATATACAACTACTAGGGAATTAGGCCCCAAAATACCATGCTATAGAAGGAGTTATGGGCTCAACTCCCTAATGGTTATATATTGGGTACTGCCCCCTCCCAGTAACAGTCTAAATTAGGGGTCCTGTCAAGGGCTATATATAACCATTTTTGTTAAATATTATCCAACTGTTAGTAGGGGGGGGGCAGTACCCAAGTTCCCTTTGTGGACCCTCTGGGTGAACCTCCCCTCCAATCGGTCTGGTCGGCTCTAGGGCCATTGCACTTCAGGATTTAGGGGTTTAGGTTTCAGGGTTTAGGGGTTATCTTAGGGTTTAGCGTTTAGGGGTTCAGGGGTTTAGGGCTTAGGGTTTAGGGTTTTAGGGGCTTAGGTCGGGGTTTGGGTTTTGGGGCTGGGGGCTTAGGGCAGTGTTTAGCGAGCTTGCCGAACCCTACTTGGAAGTTCCGAGTAATTCTAACTCAAGGCTAACTAGCACTCATAACTCGACTAGAACCATATCGGGGGACTTAGGGCTAAGACTTAGGGAGTTTATATCTCGGTCAGTTGAAATCACATTTGTATTTTGGTCATGCTTACATTGAGCCTCCAAGCCAACCTTGTGAGGAAAAGCTGGGGGAAGTCAGCCCAAAACCTTAAGCCCTGAATCCACGGCTTTCGAAATTCAAACCGTAACCCCTTCACCATTGAACCTGAATTCTTGAACCCTAACCCCTTGCATCCTACAAGCTTCAACTCTGAACTCTCTAGTCCTACCCCCGGCTAGCCTTACGTCCTTCTTTTTGGCTGCGCATGCTGAACCCTAAACTTACTAGTTGTTAGTATACAAGGAGGGAAAGGTAACTACCATGTTCTTGTGGATTATATCTTTACCCTCAACGTGGATGCCATCCCTTCATGATACAACCTTTCACTCCGTGTCCAAGTATGCCACCATGGGCATATTGAATCTTAGAGGGGTGCGGGATTTCAAAATTAGGGGAGGGCATTAAGGAAAGCCTAAACCTGGGATTTTAGTTACCCCAATCGCTAAACCTAGGAACTTATTGTAGTCATATCATAGTTATAAGGTCGTCATTGTAGGGTTTGGGGTAACTAAAGTCCTATAGCCTAAATCCAAAGAGCACCGTGCGTTTGCTTGGCGCAGACGTAAA